CCATTGTCCAAGGTTTGAGTCTTTTCGTATTTGGTAGATCAATTCCTATATTGGTTTTCTCCATCACGTCTATTAAATATTTAAGTTCTTTTAAACTGTTTCTTACTTTTTTTTCTCTCCCAGCACATACCTTTTATCTTCGACGTTTCTTCTCACCGCCATCAAACTACTTTATCTAAATTTTTCCGATATAATAAAAGTAACAGCTGAAATTTTGTGTTTCCTAAGGATCAATGAATGGCGAATACGGTAAGATTTTAAGTCACCTAATTGTGAAATTATTGTGTATTGTGTATCAACTTAATTAAAGATTAATATTTCGACATTTTCGTGTATACTTGTTCTCAGTCAGAAGATGGAACAGAAATTCGTTTTGAGATGTTCTGGTTTGGTTTGTTTTGAATTTCGCGCAAAACTACTCGAGGGCTATCCGCGTTCGCTGTCCCTAATTTAGCAGAGATGTAAAAGAGAAAAGGCAACTAGTCATTACCAGCCACTGCCAATAGTTGGGCTGTTCTTTTACCAACGAATAGTTTGATTAACCGTTACATTATAACACTCCCACGACTGAAAGGGCAAGCATGTTTGATGAGGGGGATTCAAACCCGCGATTATACGTTCTTAATGTTGTTTTTCTATGTTTCTAATTGACCCCCTTTTATAAATTACGTGAGATTGCCAGGCGTGTTTGAAAGTCAGTAACCCTGACTGTACAAATATTTTAGGCCAGTGTAGTAATTTCACCACTGCTGACCAGGTCCGTGGCCATGTGAGAGGGGGGGGGGGGGTTGTCCGTCCACATTAGATCCTGTGCCTCCTCACTCACCAGATTCTAAATTGATATGAAAAACTATGACAAATACAACTCAAAAACTAAAATAAGATACAATTGTAGCTCAACATAATATCAATAACTAATAGCTGAAGCTTAGAGGTTTTTACTTACTTAATAATAATAACAACACCAATAATTAAAAAAATATCAAGGAAAACTACAATCGTGGGAAAGTTTCATAATTATGCAGTATCATATGATTTATTAATC